GGAGAATACAATCTATTTTCTCTCAAAGGGCATCTCACAAGACCTACCCAGAAAGGCCTCAAAGAAGCTGTGTGAGGAAACAGTGCAGGAGTCTACCTCGTTTTCTATTTCAACATTCAAACAAAGAAATGTGGCTGTTTGGGAAAACTCTTGACTACAAAGGAATCATCTGGGACTAATTATCATATTCAGCCTTGTTTAAAACCATCATTTCATTTTGTTGTTTGAGTTTCTCTAACTAGTTAATTAAGGTTTTCCCCATCCCTACCATAATCTCATATATATTATGGAATATATATACTTTCATATATGCATATATATATACATTTGGATACGTGTGTGTGTGTGTGTGTGTGTGTGTGAGTGTGTATCACCAAAGACTTTGTAGAACTGTGTCAGGATTACCTCCACAAGTGGCAGAGAGTTACAGTATTCCCCAGAATTATTTTGAATTGTACGTCATCTTCTAAGTCATATTCAACAGATAATAGCAATCATTCCAGAACAACTTAGTAGCTTACATTATTGGAGCATCACATATGGACACCACAAATGCAGAACACTCTGGTCCTCTTAAGCATGTGAGCTGTTTGCAGTCAGGAAACCTGACAAATTCAAGGTGAGGCTCTGCCTCTCTGGTCTATTGAAAATCCCCATGGAGCCATGACATGAGGCCATAAAGAGCTTGTACATCATATCCTCCTCCCAAAAGGTCAGAGACTGGACTATATGAAATGCATTTTTTCTCTTGCAGGCTTCAGTTAGATGTAGATACTCTGAGGTGGTATTCCCTTAGCTGTAATTCTCTTTCAGCTTCATTTCAAATCTTCCCTTTTGGAGAGAATAGCTTTAAAGAGGCCTCAAAATTCTCTGAAATATTTCTACTATTTATGTCAGTTACCAACTAAAAACTGAGTTTGGAAAGGAGGTAATGTGAGTTTGGGTTGATAATTATATCTTAAATCACAAGGAAAGACAAGAAGCCATACTAAAAGAATACCAAGACTCTTAAGCTCTTTTACTACAGAGTGGTTTTCTTTCCTTACAAATAGTTGTAGTTGACATGTCAAAAAAAAATCTAATGACCATGAGATTTTTGAATAAGTTTTCTGATGCTATCCTTCTTTCCTACTGGCCATTTCCTTACTCCAGAGACTGGCTGAGCTAGGCAAAGGAGAGAAAAGAACAACTTAACTACTTGTGAATTCTCTGGCAAAAAGTTTAGTGAAGGACAAGTTTCAACTTAATTTCTAAAATAAATTTTTAAAATATTATTGGTACAAACTCAGTCTGTTCCCCATTACCACAGATACCAGGAATTAACTGTAATTTTGCTTCCATTTGATTCCCCGTAGGGACAAAACCACACTTTTAATGCCAACACATGCACATTCTAACATTACAGTAAACGTTTTTCTGACGCATTTACAGATTCACAAAAGAGAGAGAGAAAGAGAGAGATAAACTGAAACATTTGGCAACGGTTTCATTACTTCACTGAAAATCAGTAATATTTCAGAAAGTGCTACAATGTAGAAATTACTAAATCCATTCTTTAAAGACCCTCAGGTTAGAATCTGAATTACTAGAAAAAGAAAGAAATGCAAATTGTTTATTATTTTCACATGTACAGTAAATTCAAAAAATTGTACTTCTTTCGAGAACCATATGGGACAGACTTTCTTTTCATCAGGAGTGGTTTTGCTTGTTGTGCCAAGAGCTAAAAAGATGTTTTTAATAACCAAAGCCAGTTTTTTATACAATCTGTCTGGATCTAGCTTGTAAGAGAGATGAGGGTCCCTTTAGTAGGAAATAGAGGGTGCTAAAGGGGTTGTCTGAGATGATAGAAAAGTTATGCAAAAAACAGAAAGATGTGATCAAAGATGAATCCAAAGGGAATCATCTTCAATTCATGGTTGATAGGACCCATGTGCATCATTCACTGAAGAACCACAGGAGGTTACTGGGGCTCCTTTTTAAAATGTGACCATACTCCTTTTGGGGGGCAGGGGAGCTTGGAATTGAACTCAGAGACACTCGACCACTGAGCCACATCCCCAATCCTATTTTGTATTTTATTTAGAGACGGGGTCTCACTGAGATGCTTAGTGTGAGTTTCTTAGTGCCTCACTTTCGTTGAGGCTGGTTTAGAACTCTCCATTCTCCTGCCTGAGCCGTCAGAGCCACTGGGATTATAGACCTGTACCCCCAGGCTCAGCATGACCATGTTCTTTAAGGGAGGGAAAGTCCAAATGGATTGGGTGCTGTAGGCATTAAATGCCTAAGCTTGATACAAGTGAGAAATTCACCCAACAACTACCTGAGAGGACCTGAGAGAGCATGGCAGCTCTTTGAACACGACTTCAAATTAAGGGAGGGTCAGGACACTGCCTCAGAGGCTAGGGAAAAAAAAAAAAATTCTGAGGAAAGAGAATGATCCTGAATGGATCACTCACACGTGTTTCACTAGAACAGTGTTTGATTTTTTTTTTTTTAAGATACATCAAAAACTGGTGCCATACCATGATGAAGTTTTCATAGTCCATGATGAAATGAGAAAATTAAGGAACGTATAGTGCATTTTTTCATGAAGTTAAACAAATTCATTTTAAGGGTCAGTCCTTTATTGTAAGATTATATCCTTCCTATTTTTCAAGTTAAAATATGTTTTAATATTTTAGGTTGGACCACAGGAAATTGCCAATATTTAACTATTTTTGACCTACAAAAACAGCAATTTCCTTGAGTTCAACTTAACATTAAATGATGATGATTGGATATGGGAGCTTCTAATAATGGCCCTGTGTGGCAAAATAAAGAGCTGGTAACCATATGTGAGTGCCTAAACTGCTTTTGAAACTTTTTTAGTTCCTAAAATCTAGAAGAGTAACCCTATAACTATAGATTGCCACCGGAGGGCATCTAACCAGTAGCCTTCTAGATTTTGTCCACTGTAAGATAACACAAAATTAAAAAAAAAAAAAAAAAAAAAAAAACAGAAAAAAAAAAACAGAAAAAGGAAGACAGCTCCAGATGCTAAAGATAATGTCATGGACACTGAGAGCCAGCTCTGTAAGAAAGGAAGGCTGGAATTCCTGAGTCTGGGCTCTAGGAGCAACACAAAGGCATATGAAGCAAGCACTGGGCTTCAGCCTATCAGCTCAAGAGGAAAGGAATTCGTTCATTTTCTTGCAATGGAAAAGCATAGAAGTTGATTCTCCACTAAACAGATATGTAAAGCTGATACACAGCCATATCATTAGACAGTAGGTAAAAATCTATGGTGACTTGACAGAAAGCTGGTCCCAGAAATTCAGATGGTTGATCCTGTCAGCAGGATCCATTAAAAAGAGCAACCCAAGTCAGAGTCACATGCCTGCAATCCTGGTGTCTCAGTAGGCTGAAACAGGAGGATCCCAAATTCAAGGATAGCCTCAGCAACTTAACAAGATCTTCAGTAACTTAGTGAAACCCTGTCTTAAAATAAAAAATATAAAGGGCTGGAGATGTAGCCTGGTGGTAAAGTTCCCCTGGATTCACTCCCTGGTGCCAAATAATTATCATCATCATCCAAGCTCTGGTTCTTATAAAAGATGCCTATTCAACACCAAGAAAACGTGTGTGTGTATGTGTGTGTATGTGTGTGTGTGTGTGTGTGTGTGTGTGTGTGTGCGTGTGATGCAGAGACTGAAGCTGCCATTGAAATGAGCAAGAAGAAACTATATCTAAGAAGAAAACTACAGGGGGGAAAATGAAGCAAACATGCAGAAATGATAAAATCATACACTAAAGAAAGAGATGGGAAGACAACAAGGCAGAGAAAGTAGTTGCCTTGATTCTAGACTGTACTTCAGTTCCAAATCTAGTCACTTAAGAATGCTTAGCTGTGTTTTGGGATCCAACCCTTTGAGATCTATGAGATAGACAAAATCTAATTTTCCCCTACTTTTATGAGATGTGGTGTTCGGGATAGAGGTGTGTCTAAATCTTCTAAGCAAAAGATTCTGGTTGAGTTTTAAGTGATCCATTTAGCAGAAGAAATGGGATTACAACCAGATCTAGCTAATGGTAGTAGCAATCTGACTCTATGTTTCTTCTTTTATGTCTTTTTTCTTCCATATGGTTCACCTTCTGTTCTTCCTTTCCTTTTATGTGGCAGAGGCAATAATTCAGACATGTACCTAACTCCTAATTTGGATATGTCTCGAGCCTTGATAGCAAATGAATGAACTTTGATTTCGTAACTATTCCAAAACATACCAGTTTGTTATATTTATTTTTAAAATATTTTTATTAGTTATAGATGGACATAATACCTTTATTTATTTTTTATGTGGTGCTGAGGATCCAACTCGGTGCCTCACATATGCTAGGCAAGCACTCTAGCAACAATCCCAGCCCCAAAACATACCAGTTTAAAACAAAAACATTTATTTACCTCACAACTCTGCAGGTAGGAATTTAGACTGACTTCAACTTGGCAGTTCTTCAGGTCTAAGATATCTGTCAGCTATGTGGTCAGTTACTAGGTTGGTTTGATACTAAATAGTTTCAGCTCAGAAGGTCTCTCTCTTCTCCAATAGGTCTTTCAGCCATGAGGAGGCTGTCCTTTCATAGTTGTTCACTTGGCAATTGAACAGTTTCCAGGAAAACAAGTGGATGCTTAGGTTTAGAATTAGTCCAGCATTACTTCTGCTGTGTTGTGATGGCCAAAGCACAGCATAAGACCATCCCAGAATCAAACGTTGAGGATATACTCCACCTCTTGAGGGAAAGACTACACAGTTAATTCACAACAGATGTGGATATAAGCAGGGAAATAATTGTGGCCATTTTACAAATGGCTTTCTGAATCTGGCTTACTTCACTTAACATGATGTTCTCCAGTTCCATCCATTTTCCTAAATGACATAATTTCATTCTTCTTTATGATGGATAAAATTCTATTGTGAATATATGCAACATTTTCTTCATAAAGTCATCTGCTGACAGACACCTAGACTGGTTCCATGACTTTGCTATTGTAAATTGTCCTGCTGTAAACATGGGTAGGTATGTATCTCTTTAGTATGCTGGCCTTAATTCTTTTGGATAATAAAAAGGAATGGTATAGCTTGAATGGTGGATCCATTCCTACTCTTTTAAGGAAACTCCACTCTGATTTTCATAGTAACTGTACTAATTTACATTCTCAACAACAATGTATAAGAGTTTATTTTTCCCCACATTCTTGCCAACATTTACTGTTATTTATATTTTTGATGATTGCAGTTCTGGAGTGAGACAAAAATCTCAGTGTAGTTTTGAATTGCACTTCCCCAATGGCTGGAGATGTTGAAATTTTATCAATAAAATTGTTGTTCTTTTGTCCTTCTTCTTTTGAGAAGAGTTTGTTTCTTTTATTTGCCCATATATTGAATGGTATTTTAGTCAGTTTTTTGCCACTGTGACTAAACAACCTGACAAAAACAATTAGAGAGAAAAAGTTTGAGGACTCATGATTTCAGAGGTCTCAATCCATAAAAGGGAAGCTCCTTTCCTCAGAGCTTGAGGTGAGGCAGAACATCATTGTGGATGAGTACGGTGGAGGAAAGCAGCTCACGCCATGATCAGAAAGCAAAGAGAGACTCCACTTGCCACAAAATATATACCACAAACACATGCACCCAGTGCCCACCTCCTCCAGCCGCATCCTACCTGCCTTCAGTTACCACTCTGTTAATCCCCATCAGGGTATTAATTCACTGATTGGGTTAAGGCTCTTATAATCCAATCATTTTACCTGTGAATGTCCTTGCATTATTTCACATCTGAGCTTTTTGATGACACCTAATATCTAGACCATAACAAATGAATTGTTTGGGATTTTATGTTGTTGAGATTTTTGTTTTTTATATTTTCTAGATATGAAATTACTGTCTGAAGAGTAGCTGGAAAAGAATCTCTCCAATTCTCAGTTCTTTCTTTACAATCTTGTTTCTTTTGCTGGGCAAAAGGTTTTTAATTTGAGGCCATCCCATTGTTGATTCTTGGTATTATTTCCTGAGCTTTAGGGGTTCTATTGAGGAAGTTGCTGCCTTTGCCCATATGTTGAAGTGTTTTACTTATGTTTTCTTTCATCAGTTACAAAGTTTCTGATCTTTTGCCAAGATCTTTGATTTATTTTTATTTGACTTTTGATCAGTATAAGAGATGGGGATGTAATTTAAATCTTTTACATACAGATATCCAGTTTTCTACTATTTGTTAAATTGACTGTCATTTCTACAGCTTAAGTTTTGGACACCTTCATAGAGAATCAGATAACTCTTGCTATTTGAGTTTATCTCTGAGTCTTCTACTCTGTCCCATTAGTCTACATGTCTATTTTTATCCCAATACCAAACTGTTTTTGTTATTATGATTCTGTAGTATAGTTTGAAGTCAGGAATCAGATGCCTCCAGCTTCACTCTTTTTGCTCAGAATTGCTTTGCATATTCTTCATATAAATTTTAGTATTTTTTTTCTGGTTCTGAAAATAAAAGAATTGGTATTTTGATGGAAATTGCATTGAATCTGTAGATTGTTTTTGGTAGAATAGCCATTTAAGATTTTTAATTCTGCCTACCCATAAACATGAGAGGCCTTTCCATCTTCTGGTGTCTTCTGGTATTTCTTTCTTCAGCATTCTGTAATTTTTCCTTATAGAGCTATTTTTACTTTTTTAGTTAGATTTATTCCTAAGTATTGTGTTTTATTTTATTTTTAAGCTATTATGAATGAAATATTTTTCCTGATTTCTTTCTTAGCAGTTTCATTATTGGTGTATAGAAAAAGCTGTTTGTTTTATATGTTAATCTTATATCTTGCTCTTTGCTGAATTTGTTATCAGTGGCATTTTTAGGATCCTCTAAGCATAAGATCATATCATCTACAAATCTGACAATTTGACTTCTTCATATTTGTAAACTCTTTATTTCCTTCTTTTGCCTAATTGTTCTGTTGAAGATTTAAGAACTATGTTGTAGAGTAATGGTGAAAGTAGACATCCTTGTGTTATTCCTGATTTTAGGAAAAATGCTTTTAGTTCTTTCTCATTCATTGTGATGTTGGCTTTGGGTTTGTCATATACATACTTTATGATCCTAAAGTAAGTTCTTTTTGTCCCTAATTTCTTCAGGATTTTTATTATGAGTGGATGTTGATCTTTGTTGAGGGTTTTTGCTGCATTTACTGAAATGATTGTTGATTTTATCATTGATTTCTTTTATATGATGCATTACATTTATTTATTCACATATGTTGAACCATCCTTGCATCCCTAGAATAAAACCAACTTAATAATGATGTACAATCTTCTTAAGATGTTATTGAATTTGATTTATTAAACTTTTATTAAGGATTTTTGCATCTATTTTCAACAAGGACATTAGTCTGTAGTTTTCTCTCCTTGAAGTATCCTTATCTGGTTTTGGTATCAGGGTTATGCTGACTTCATAGAACGAGTTTAGAAGTATTTCCTCCCTTCCTTTTTCCTGGAATAATTTGAGGAGCATTGACATTAGTTCTTTAAAAATCTGGTAGAATTCAGCTGTGAAACCATCTGGTCCTAGGCTTGTCTTTGTTGACAAGCTTTTTATTACTGCTTCAATCTCAGCATATTATTTGTCTGTTTAGGTTTTCTATATACTACTGGTTCAATTTTGGTAGGACATATGTGTTTATCAATATATAAATTTCTTCTAGATTTTTCAATTTATTGGAGTATAAGTTTTCAAAGTATTTCCTAATGATTTTCTGTGTTTCAGTGATGTCTGTTGTACTATCCCTAATTATATTGATTTAAGTCTTCTCTCTCTTTTATTTGAATAGTTTGGCTGAGGATTTATCAATCTTGTTAATCTTCTCAAAGAATCACTCTTTCACTGATCTTTTTTATTGTTCTTTTGGTCTCTATTTCATTAATTTCAGCTCTGATCTTTATTAGTTTTTACATTCTAATGGTTTTTAATGACTTGTTCTTCTTTTTCTAAGACCTTGAGAATTATTACTTAGTCATTTATTTGGGATCTTTCTGATTTTTTATGTAGATACTCATAGCTATAAGTACTATTCTTTGAAATTCCTTTACTATGTCCCAGAAATTTTGGTATGTTCTATTTCTATTCTCATTTGATCCTAAGAACTTTTAAATTTCTTCTCTGGTTTCTTCAATGACCATCTCATCATTCAAAAATGTTAATACATCAGTATTAACAATCTACATATGTATGGATAATTTCCATAGTTTTTCTTGCTGTTGACTTCTAATTTCATAAAATTACTTTTTGAAGACTCAGTTCTAGTGCCAGCACCTTTCAAGTCTGCAGCAATATTAACCAGGATGTAGCACATACTCTAAATGAACAACAAATATATGGTCTTGTTTCTCTTTAACCAGGATTCAAGAATACAAGAATTAAGGAATAGAAATAGACCAAAGCTTTTCATTAGTCTCCGATGATTCACTAACAAAGTTTTTACTTCCCATGCCTGTAACTCTAGACTCAAATGGTTTGAATTTTTTAGTTCCAAAGGGATAAATGCTTCCACCAACAAACAAAAAAAGTGATTCCATTCAACTGAAGTTGAGACTACCATGTAGCCATTTTAGGATACATAAGACAATGGGCAAAGAAAGGGGTTCTACTCAGTATTTACCAGCTGGGGGTGATTTTGTCCCCCAGATGATATTTGCAATGTATACAGACATTTTTGGTCACATTTGGGGAAAGAGAGCATACTAAATATTATGAATCTAGTAAATTAAAAGTCAAGATTACTGCTAAGTATTCTATGATACACAAGACAGCCCCTAGCCACATGAAAATTTATCTAGATCAAAATGTCAATAGTGCAAGAATTAAGAAACCCTAGATTTTCCTAATAGTTCTGGTGATTATTTCTCACTGTCTAGGGGAAAATGGATTGCTACTACCCAATGGGGATACTAATGAACCATAGGGCACCTCTTAGAACTCCCATGTTCTATAATTGAAGTCAATGGGAAACAACAACCACTCAGATAAGGTATTGGTTGATGACCTAGACTTTTCAGGAATAAATGTTTGAGTTGTCCCCATTTGACTGGAAACTCCAAATAGTTGTGGAAGTTAATTATAAATACCAGGTAGACCAGATGACTAGTTGTGGAAATTAGGATTATAGTAGTTATATTTCTTCTTTATTTTTATATGAATATGTTTGTACATATATATATATATATATACATGCTTCTTTCCTCATCCCATTCACTTACCATTTACCCTGAAATAATAAGATATATTGTTAATCTATATCTCAGTATTGAAGTTATAAAATATCAAAGGGAGAGATTGGAAACCTAAGAGAAGACTAAATATGACCAGAGACACAAAAGTGAATTAGTAACTTTGGAGGAAAGGATTAATATATTTTAATGTACACAGCGTAGCAATAATCATGTTAGGTAGAGGTATTACTTTGTTAATTTCATTTTAAACATAAGTATAGTGAGTTGTATATAAATACTGAGTTGACAGTGGGGATGCTGTGGTGGTTTCATAATGTATCAATATAGTGAGGCTCAACTATGTCTATTAGCTTTTAATTACTATAATGAAATACCTGAAATATTCCTTTGCAAAGAAAATATGTTAATTTGGCTCACAGTTCTGGAAGTGTAGGATCAAGAGACCAGATTTGGTGATAGCCTTCTTGCTGGCAGAGTCCCAAGGCAGCCCCCAGGACATCACATGGCAAGAGACAGGGAATGTGTGTTGCATGCATGTGTATATATGTCTCCCTCTGCTTATAAAGCAGGATTCACCAATGAGGGCTCCATGCTATCAATCTTATTTAATCCTAATCACTTCCAAAAGGCCCACCTAAACACTTAGTGAGATTAAGTCTCTACCCTCTTAAAATCTCACAATGGAGATTAAATTTAACACATGACATTTTAGGTGACACTCAAGCTATATTCAAACCACAGTCCTTCTTTTCTCCAGAATTCTCACCCCTGTATATTTCTGGTTAAGGTGGACCATATTTGAGGGACATATTTGCATGAGATTTAGAAGATGGAAATGAAGCAGCACCCATATTGGTTCTTAAACATCAAAAGGTAGAGGTAGATGTTTTCATAGCTCCAATACATTACCATTTACTTGTTGGCCCACTGTGTTGGCATGGGGCAGTATCCAGGCCTGCAGCTGCTTTGCCTTTCTCTGGGTCCTCTTTTACTGTATCCAATTCCTGGATATGCCAAGTATGTGTTTAGTCCTATGACAGATGCACCACTTTCTCAATGTTGGAAGCAGTAAGAACTGACACAATTCATCATTGTGGTTCCAGCTCCTCTTCATAGATTCCAGCTTGTCCTGGCCCTCCCTGCTTTATATTCATCTTCCCTTCCTAGATGCCTGCTCTGAAGACTTCATACCATCAGGCATGATAATAACAGGCTCAGAGGATGTTTAACCAGCTTCCACAATTGAGCATAATGTCAAATCTACAGAAAATATTATACATATATAAATGTATATACATATATACATACTTATATAGGTTCTTCCTATGATCCTAGAATGGCCCCAGTATTGTGTTCTCCTGATTGTATATTTTTGTAAACATTGAAAAAATAAGGTTTTTTAAACACCACAAATTTTTATTAGTTTTTAAAATTATGTGTGAATTGTTTTCTCTTTGTTAATAATCACCCTCAAGCCTAGTTTCTATTTGTAATTTCACATTTCTTTTCTTAAATATGGTCTTCTAATAGTATATGATTCAAAATTTGCATCTGTCTTTACAGAGTTCTGCACTTGAAATCAGTTCAGAATTGATCACCATGAAAAAAAATCCAACAACCTTTTTCAGCTGGAGGATTAAATAGAAGTAAACTACAAGTGAGTAGAGATCAGCAGTCCCAAATTCTGACCACAAAGCATTTAAACATGAAATGGATTCGGACAATTCAGTCTCCCTTATAGTTTGCATCAAGGAAATAGCAATGTAAGAAGCAGAGTGTACAGAAAAATCTGGCTCAGGCTTGGAATATGCACATTCTCAACAAAAGGAGGGATAGAACTGATGGCCTAGGAACTGAAGAAAGGAGCTGAAGGCTGACTAAGGTCAGATGTTTGTCAAAGTCTCCCAAATATATTTTCCTAGACCCTAGACAAAGAGAAAAAAAAAATTAAACAGCGAGAGATTCTTAAATCTCACTGGACTATTCACTGAAACAGGAACAGGAATGTGCCTTGTTTGAAGAGAAGAATCTGGGACTACAGAACAGCTATTTAAGCCAAATGCCCCACATGAATATGACAATAAACCTTTATGATTATAAATGGGTTTTTCTCAGAATGATGTCACTGCTGGATAAAGCTGAACATTTTGAAAACACTTTATCACTACAATAGCACTGTAACAGTTGATGAGACACTTTATAATGGATGGAAATTTAGCTCCTTAACCAAAAATTATAATAATATGCATTCTACAACAAAGTATTTTCCACCAGGCGACCAGCACGCTGGTTTCATTAAAGAGGTTCGTGGCATAGAAGTTAACTAGTGAGATCAAAGTAAACACACACAGACTCAATTACTTTTTTCTATGAACAGGTCTGAGATGGTTCTCCCCTTAAACCACCCGATGGGGCAGCAAGGCACTCAGGACTAGCAGGAGAGAGAGAGAGCACACCAGGGAGTGGCCTTTTATTGGGGAACAAGAAATTCAGGGGAAAATTCCATCCAATGAAGGTCGAGGGGGGCAGCATTCCAAGGTCAGGGTCAGTGATTGGTCTCAGGGTCAGTGATCAGTCACACCCCCACACAGACTGGCTCTCGCACCTGGAGAGGGTGGGGATAGCTCCGACACAGTTTGGCCAGAACACCTCACACCCAATCCAGGAGGTGCCCAATCACGTGCGAGAATGGCTTCCCACAGTATTTTGTAAATAAAAAAATTATTTTCTTTGTCTTTCTAAGCTTTATTTATTTATTTTGTAGTTTTAGACAGACAGCATGCCTTTATTTTATTCATTTTTATATGGTGCTAAGGATTGAACCCAATGCCTAACATGTGCTAGACAAGCGCTCTGCTACTGATCTACAGCCCCAGCCCTGTTTTTCTAAGCTTTTATGTGATAACTTTTACATTGAAAAACTAATATGCACAATTCATAACCTAAACTTACAGACTTTTAAAACATCTTAGAGGGACAGATAAATGAAGAGTTGTTTTTAAATCTGGCTATAGTGCAGCTGAGTGACTTTTAAAAAAGAATTCTTATAAGGCATAAAGGCTTTTTTCTATAAGAACAATACTCTATTGAGCATTTTGATTATTAAAGTTGAGATTCTTAGGTTCTAACTTTCATAGGGGAGTTCTGATATATAATCAAATTGCTCCAAATACTAAAGGAGGATATGGGGGAAAAGGTTCACTCATACTTTGCTGGTGGGACTGCAAATTGGCACAACCAATCTGGAAAGCAGTATGGAGATTCCTTAGAAAACTTGGAATGGAACCACCATTTGACCCAACTATCCCACTCCTTGGTTTACACCCAAAGGTTTAAAATCAACATACTATAGTAATGCAGCCACATCAATGTTTATAGCAGCTCAATTCACAAAACCTAAACTGTGGAACCAACCTAGATGCTCTTCAATAGAGGAATGGATAAAGAAACTCGTATATGTACACAATGGAATATTACTCAGCATTAAAACAAAATAAAATTATTACATTTGCAAGTAAATGAGTGGAATTGGAGAATATCATGCTAAGCGAAGTAAATCAGTCCCAAAAAACCAAAGGCCAAATGTTTTCTCTGATAAGCAGATGCTGATCCATAATGAGGGAAGGGGGGCTTAGGAAAAATGGAAGGGGGGCTTAGGAAGAACTTTGGGCAAAGGGAAAGGAGAAGAGGGGAGGGAATACAGGGGCAAGAACGATGGTGAAATGAGATGGACATCATTACCATAGGTACATGTATGACTGCACATATGGTGTGACGATACATCCTGTAAACTAGAGAAATGAAAAGTTGTGCTGCAATTATGTACAATGAATCAAAATGCATTCTGCTGTCATATATACCTAATTAGAATTAATTAATTAAAACAAATTTTAAAAAGAACTGGAAGCATCTCATTGTGGGCTGAAAAACCAAACAAAACCAAAAAACAAGTTCCTGAGAATAAAAGGATATATATAGGATTGAGAGGAAGTAAGAGAAGTCCCTAAGATGGTGAAATTTGAAGGTCAAAATAGAAACATGGCATGTGACAGGAAATGAGCATTGAACATTCATGAACAGAAAATTTGGAGTTATGTCTTTCCTTATGCTATACTATTCTATTATTCACCAACATTCTGTAAAAGTCTGTGATGCTCATGCCAACAGCAGGCAGCAGCTCCAGGAACTGAGAATAATGGGAGAAGATGAAGGCACCAGAATGGTGACTATAACCAGTAAAGGCAGAAAATCAAAATTAGAAAACAACAAGAATGCAGGTCACTGCCACTGGTGACATAATCCACCTGCCTATTCATTTTCAGCTGTGTTGTGAGCAGACGTATTTCTTTTCTAAAGGAACTCAAATTATTTTGTTAGGGGAGTAAAACACAGGTTAATTCCAAAAGGCCAAAGGATTCAGGAACAGTGAATTTGGCCAGTTTGAGAGTTACATGTGTTACAAAATAGCAACTGCTATACCAATTAAATCTAACCACTTGCATTTGACTTATTTTTTCTTAATAAAAATATCAGAAGATCCAAGCCACATTTTAAATTCTGTTTATTTGGAGTTAGAGGTTTTGCTCTAGTACCATTTGGTCCTTATAAAGTGTTGTTGACCTCAAGAGCTAAAAAGCATCATGCAGCAAACATTGCAAGTTCTGTCATACAGACTGACATCTCAAATATAGTTGGTTATCTCTAAGAATCACATGAGAAAGCTGGATCAATTGATTTTATTAATTATTTTTTCAACCTGTGCATAGTGAGGACTTGGAAGGCAAATGGGAATAAAGACAGAAGGGACAGCTGTTTGATATTCTTCCCAGAAGACAGTGTCCCCTCTGTGTGTCTCCTCTTAGTAAAGGCAAGTGATTTCTTTCCTCCCCACTGCCACCAGAAGAAGTGAATCCTGTGATACTAAGTGTTGAGAGCCACAGCCAAAGGGGCCCCAACAAACTTCCAGCTGCCAGCAAGCTTCAGACTGCCC